GGAAAAGCTTCCTTCCGCTTCTGTAGAAAGGGCTTGAAAGACAAAGCACTGGATCCAGGCTGGGAGGCCTGTTGAAAGCATCCTTCCCCTTGTCAGGCCTGCTGTACAGCTTAATAAAGCATGACGTACCAGACGGTGCTTAATCAAAAGGAAATAGGCGTCCTCTACTCAAGCTCAAGCTAAACCACAATTGCTTCTGTCACTTTCACTTAAGAAAACTAGTAATAAAAATACTACTTTCAGTAAAGGAAGAGCATTTTCTACCTATATCCTATTACTAATAATTTATGTAAGCATTCTGAATTTGCACTGAGTGTTGAACTCTGGACTGTGCTTATCCTTGTAATAGTAACAACATAATAGTTAACTGGGTTACTATTTTACCCATTTTACAGGTGAGAATATGGAGGCTTAAGGAACTGGCTTAAGACCAACTATCATAAGTCCATGGCAGGAAAAAAAACCAGCCACTAGTCCACAATGTTTTCCTTCTGATTTGAGCAGCTTTCTCTGGTAGTTTCTTCCTTGGGTTTCTTCTTCCATTAGCGGGGAATCATCGGGATGGCGGCCAGTGACAAGCGGGGTCCCCCAGGGCTCTGTCCTGGGGGCCAATCCTGTTTAATCTTTTCATTAACGACATGGAAGAAGGGGTGAACAGTCTGCTGATCAAATTCACAGACAACACTAAAACTGGAGCAGTGGCCACAACTGAGGAGCAGGTACTCCAGATCCAAAAGGATCTGGACAGACTATGGAAGTGGGCAGGAGACAACAGGATGGCGTTCAATGTGGATAAGTGCAAGGTCTTGCACTTGGGGCATAGGAATAGCTGTCATAAGTACAGGTTAGGTGACAAGTGGCTGGAGAGCAGCACTTGTGAAAGGGACCTCGGGGTACTGGTTGACTGCAGGCTAAACATGAGTCAGCAGTGTGATGCAGTGGGCAAGAGGGTGAATGCCACCCTTGTTGCATAGCCAGAAGTGTGGCTTCTAGATCAAGAGAGGTATTACTACCACTCTACAAGACTCTAGTGCGCCCGCAACTGGAGTATGGTATTCAGTTTTGGGCCCCTCATTACAGAAAGGATATAGCCAGGTTGGAGTCAGTGCAGCATAGGGCCACAAGGTTGGTGGCTGGTTTGCAGGGGATGCCGTATGAGGCGAGACTGAGGGAACTGGGTCTCTTCAGCCTGGAGAAGAGGAGACTCAGAGGGGATCTGTTGGCGACATACAGGTATGTGAGGGGATGTCACATGGAGATGGGCAGAGACCTGTTCTCCCCTGCAGAGGAAGGCAGGACACGCTCCAATGGAGCAAAGCTCAGGGAGCCAAGGTTTCGTTTGGATGCCAGGAAGCACTTCCTGACAGTCAGGACCCCGAGGGTGTGGAATGGGCTTCCACGAGAGGTCGTTGAGGCCCCATCGGTGCAGGTGTTCAAGGATAGGCTGGACGTCCACATGGTGGGCATGTTGTGAGTGGAGCCGGCTGGTGCCAGAGGTCAGACTAGATGGCCCGGTAGGCCCCTTCTGACTCGCTCTGTTTCTATGTTTCTTTTCAGCGGAGTACCTCATGCAGCTTTATCACCCTGACTTGCCAACTCCTACCAGTGGTAGTGGCCTAAACAATGCAAGGGTGCTCCAGGAATGTCTGAACCTGGACCTCTGACTTGTCAGGGAAGAGACAAGCCAGAGTTTTGGGTTCTTCTCAGAGACAGAGAGCCCCTGGGTGCTTTAGCTGCTCTGGCTAGCAAGAAGTGAGCATGATGAAGCCATGTGAATTAGCAGGCAGGCTCATTCACGACTGCAAACCAGGCCATTCCCTCCTGTACATTGCCTTATTGCTAGTACAGATTTTCTTTTCTATCCTCCATGGAGATTGAAATGTTCCAGACTACCCTATCACCTTTCCTGCATGTGTAGAAAAAAATCAAGCCCAGACACTTTGCCTTATCTAAGGATCACTTTTATTTTATAGTCCCTGTATAGTTTTTACTTATTTAAAGTGTAGTTCTCATAAAGGTTTCTATATAAGTGAACACCTTGTTTCTTTTAAAAGATAGAAACTTGATTTCCCATTAAACCAGATAATTTATAGCCCATCTGGAACTTTAGAAATTGCTAGGTTTAATTTTGGGTTGTTTATTTGTTATGGAGGATTGATTTATTTATTTGGGTTTCTGGGAGAAACTTTATACTTTTAAATCAATTGAACAGACTTTGAAGATCTGTCCTTGAAAGTTGCATAATTCACATACAGATCTGAAGAGCTCATTAAGGAGAACCATACACAAACCCTGACATACTAAAAGAATATTACATCAATTCAAATTGTGCATAGCCATGTAGTGTAATTGAAGCATTTCAAAGTGTTGAAAGAGTCTGAATTTGAAAAGGGCAAGTGGTTTTATAGACTTAGCTTCAATAAGTGATTTAAATTGTCAACTCACCCTCTAGTGTTGAGAAGCTTTAATCTCCTAAACTATAAAGAACTAGGTTTCTAAATCTTTGTCAGCAACTGCAATGTTGGGAGTTGGAGTGGGATTTAGTCACAGGATATACTGAGTCCTGAGAGGAGCAGGACTTTGGGAGCGCACAACTAGTTGGAGATGCTGGTTCTTACTGAGAAAATACAGAATCCTGTTGTGAAAGCAGTACGCCTGGGATCAATGTGAAGGGAAATCTGCCGGCAGAAGACTGCAGGAAGGAGGAGGATTGCCAGCAAGGCAAAGCTTAAGGAAGGATGGGGCTGGCAAGAAGTAGAATCAGGCATACAGAAATTGAGTCAGCAAAAGTGTAAAATTACTTGTTATTCATACAAGAGTCAGGAGCTGACCTGGCAGGTCTTACAGCCGATGTTTCTGTGGCTGTGCTCTGCTTTTTAAAAAGGGTTGCTGCCCCTTATGGCTACAAAGCATTGCCCAAATCTAAGAGGGTATAGCGACTTAACAGAAGAAAACAAAGACTCAACCACATGGGCACAGTTTAAGGAAAAGCTGGAGATTATCCAGATAGACATAGGGGAGGTTTAGAAAATTCAGAGCATAATTCTCCTCCCTTAAGATTGTGAAGAGCAGAGCAAAGGTATTTCTGGGTTGCCCACATCCCGGAATTAACTCACACAGGTAACATACAGGTGACTCTGTTCAGGGCCAGGGAGAGCAGAAAGAGTTTCCTGCTGTTCAGGTTGTGGATGTAGAAAAAGAAAAGAAAAGAGTGTGCTGTTCCTTCATGATTTACCTCAACAATTCTTTAATTGCTTCCTTAGGTTTTAAACCTTTAAGACATTTAAGTCTATAGACCACAATTTTAATTTGGTATTTTGCTTATTCAACATTAACAAATGCAAGGCAAAGTAGTTGTAGAAAATATATCATGTGGCCCTCAGCGACAATTTGCTCATCCAGTGTCTTTACAAATGATTCACATATTATGTTAATTGTCTGAAACTGCTGCATTACACTTAGCTGCAGTTCCACACATTTTGGTCTGTTTCTGATACAGGTATCCATACCTAACCATAAAGTTTATGTTCATAGCACATCAGCAGTCTTTTATGGGTCAGTTACTGAATTCCTGTTCCTGGAAGCTTTTGCAGCGTATGTACTGCTCTGAAAAACCTTATTCTCATTGGTTGCATCTAATGAATGATAAGAAATTGTTCTAGTAGCATTTCCATCAAAAGAATGGAATATTACAAGGAGAGGGTAAACTGTGCTGCGAATACCTGTTTAATACAACCAGAGACATATTCTCTGTGAACAGTTTAAGTCATTTAAATTACAGGCTGCTCTGTTTTGAAGCTAGACACTGAAGCTAGACATGAAGCTAGACATCCAATTTAGATGTATAAAAGGATACCATGTATAAATACACTGTGCAGGAAGTATCTCAGGTGGGCTGTTATGAATTTCTAGTTTCAAACCATGGAACTCTCAGTGATTGCCTATATTTTGCTTCTTCTAAATGTGTATATGCCCTACGCTGCCATAATGCTATATTGCCCCTTTCTCTGATATATTTTAATTACTAACTCCAAAGGCAAAACACCTAATTGTGTCTTATATGTGCATGGTACAATGTGATAATGATCTTAGTGGAGGTATCTCTGTGTTTCTGCAGTAACACTGATGTGTAACCCTGGAATTCTTATTTCATAGCAATAATCCTTCCCCTGCAGCCTACAGAATTTGTTTTTAAATGTGTGTGTATAGGAAGGGAGCAACTTTCAGCATTTTTATAAAACTGCAGATCATGCTGAGTCCTCTTCAAGAGTATTGAACAGAATGTATTGAGCCATCTACAATGCACGTTGATCAAATTACACTAAAACAACAAATTTGAAGTTCTAAAGAAAGTGTTCTGTATACCTTATTAAAATTAGGCAATGGATTGATTTGGGAATAGCAATGTTTGCTCTGCAAATAGAAGCACAATCCATTTTGCATAAGAAGATTAGAATCTGGACCATTAGACTAATGTTTTCTTTTCTGGCAGGGATTGCAAACAGACAAATCAGACACTGGAAAAAAAAGTTCCAGTGGAGTGGCGATTAAAATAATCTTATGATAGGTGGGGCCAACTGAATATTTCCAACTGTCAGCTTTTCTTCAGAGCCAGCATAAATGACATGTACAAAAAATCCCTCATCTTGACAAAATTTCATGAGCAAGTTCATAAATGCCAAAAGTCACAGTAAATAGTGTTTTTTTCAAAACACATGGTAATTAAAATGAAAGTAGTTAAGTAGTTTCAACTCACCCCTAATACTTGATCCAGCTGCAATTGTTAGTTTGCTATGGGGTGGAGGGGGGCATTGGATAACCTGATTCCTAAGATAACTTTTCATTGTGTTGCTTTTTCTTGCAGCATTCCAAAAAGGTGAATGGAATGAGCTATCTGGATTCTAGTATCTGAAAAGCTTAAGTTATTCACTTGGAGAGTATTCTAAATGAGCCTGGCCAAGATACTGGATCTGTGTGAAGAGGACTAAGGATACAATAGGATGTCAACTGAGACAGAACTTCAGGTGGCTGTTAAAACCAGCACAAAGAAAGATTCTAAGAAGAAAGGTAGGAAAGCCCTACACTTCAAAGTTATATATTTATAACTTATATATTTATATTTAGGTTATATTTATACCTTACAATTTTAGAGTACAATAACTACTAATCCAATAGGGTCACCATATTTTACTATTCTTCCATTTTATCCTCATAGCTAATAGAAGTTGCTGGAAGGTAAAGTGCCATTCACATTGTTTCTGAAAACCTCCGTAAATAGGGCTATATTGAACGTTAACACGTAAATATTCTCAGGCAAAAGGGATAATATTTCCCCAAACCCTCTTAAGTATACTTTTTCACTGTACAACAATTACGTTTCCTGCACTTTCTGATTCATACCTTATTTCTTCCCTTGGGTTTACAGATTGATTACAACTAATCAATAAATATATAATGGATATGGTAACATTGTAAAGAAATGTCACCAGTTGTATTTGTCTATTTCCAGATGTAATGCAGTCATTTCAGAATGAGGGCAGCCCTTCTTGCTCTTAGATATAGAAAGAAGAAAGGAAGGACGGAAGAAAAAGTTTAAAGTGTGGGCACATATTTTTATAGTTCATACTAGCTTCAGTCGAAGCCACCCTCTATGAAATATGTTTTAAACAACCAGCTTAATAACAGTTAACAACAGTCTTATTATTTTAAGTGTGTTTCTGGCAGATAATCTTACGTTTTTAATGCATTAAACTTGGTTCATCACAAGATAAAAGTGATTAGGTATAATTATCTTCCATTGAGCTGTAAGGGTGCGTGCTCTGTGCTTGCAAGGTGACCCAGAGAAGCTAATTATCGAAGTGCGGAATCTTTAAGGACAAGGCAAGGAAGACAAACTCAGTCTTGGCACTTGAGTCCTGTACGACATGTATTATTCCAGAAGCATGCCTGTTATATAAGTACAACCCTGTCTAAAGCTTGCCCAGCACTAACAGATAGCCCAGTCTGCTTTAGACTGCACAAGGGTTTAACCCTTTATTTGACACATTTCTGCGTATGTGTGCTTTCAAATTTCAAGACTCTGACCCCAAAATGATTTGAGCCTGTGAATTGATAACACAGTGGGGCTGATGAGGGAAGAGAATAGCAGCTGCACCCCTTGGCTAGTATTGTTGAAGACTGTTGTAAGATCTAGCTTTCCATGGGGCTATCCACCCATTGTGATTGTCATATAGTACTGACTTATAGTTCTAGCAGAGGAGCTCTGTCTTTGTGTCTTCATAACATCAGCACAGAGGCTGGTTTCATGCAGAATCCCAAACAATGGTGGAAGTCAGGGTGACATGGTTTGTCATGCTGTGTGAACCCAGCCAGAATGGCACAGCATGGTAAGGATGGTCTCTATGTAACCATGGAGAGAAACAGTGGGCTGTTCTGTGCTTTCCAGGCTTCACCGTAGTATGGAACAACATTTCAATATGATTTCTATGCTGCTTCCATACAGGCTTTCAGGAAGCCACTGCTGGAAGAGATGCTCCTGCCTTCATTCTTTGTTGTTTAGATCTGCCTAGCAACTGAAGTATACAAGCCAGCTGTGCTCTGATTGGCTGTCCAATGCCTCTTTCACCTCTGCCTTCATTTTATCTTCCAGAGGCTCATGTGCAGCTTTGAAATGTGTCAAGCACATACACTTTTTGGAAATGAAAATCTCAGTTCTTTGGGCTGATCTGGATTAGAACCATTGCAAGAGCAAGGGCTACAGCCCCTGTGCCTCCATGCTAGGCATCCTCCCATGCTTATTTCCAGCCTCCCATCCTTACTTTAGAAAAATAAATACAAAGCTGCTAGCTACATCTTCCAACTAATGTGTAGCTTAGCCCCCAGCCAGAAAACCATTTAGGAGACCAAATCAGCATTTAAAAGGGATCCTGCAAACTTTATTGCAAGTGGCCTGCACAGAAAGCATTGGGAGTCTGAGGGTTTTGTAATGGCAACAAGTGAAATATTTGGGACATGGTCCCAAATATGGTCATGAAAAATCAAGTTAATCTGAACTTGGTTCAGAAAGAGAACTGAATGCAGGAAGTACAAAAGGCTTGAAATTAAATAACTCTCATACAGCTTGCCTATTGTATCTTCTACATTGAATGGAAGAGAGTTCATAGCCTTGTTATAGGTCTTTCACACACACACTCTTTCCTATGTAATACTCGGTGCCTCTTGTAACTCTCCCCCTATGGGTTGGGGGGCTCCCGGGAATGGTGCAGGATATGGGACCGTGGGCTGCAGGTAGAGGAAGGAATTGACATAAACATGAATTAAGAAGTGAATTAAGTTCCAAACCAGAATGTTATATATCAAAAGAGTTATCATTTGTAGTTAAGATATAGGGAAAGCTCCTTTTAAAAAATCATGATTTGTTCTACCTATGAGACTACCTGAGTGAAAGAGTCAATGTACCTCAGGTTGTATTAAGAGCGCTGTTGACCTCTTAGGAAGTACTTGTGAATTTGAGGAATGCTTACTTTTTATTACATAAATGAAATTGCCCACATATATAATACTGTTTGAATTTCCCTTGTGCTGTCTCATTGAAAACATAGCAAGCTTACCTTCACCTTCAGAATGGCTAGAGCCTCCTCTTCCCAATAAATTAAGATTTGATGCAGGAGTGAAAAGAAAAGGAGGGAGGACAGAAAAGACAAGGCAGCCATATAACCATGCTGACCTTTCCTGCATGTGGACTCCTTTCACGCCTTTAACGCACGATGCAAACTTCAGTTTGTGAACGGTATGTTGCAGGTTAATGTGTAGGAGAGGAAACATATATAATTCCATTTCTTGAATGATAGACAAATATGTTGTGCTTTTTCTGGGGTTTTACTCTCCAGTCTACTATATTACAAACATGGTGGACCAGATCACTGGCAGAATTAGCCCATTTATGTGACGAGGCCTAGCAGAGTGTGAAATAAATTGACACCTTGTGCTGCCCACATACTCTTCTGTCTGTGGGTTATTTTAATATTGTAGCTCCCCCCCACCTCTCCTAGATAAGCAAGATTTCCAGTGTAAGGCTGGTAATTTGCTGAACTAGTTAGGGTAGATACCAAGAAGTGGCTAGAAAGCTGTGGATGGAAAGCAGCAATATGTCCCCTTCAGTGCATCATTTTCAGGGCCAAACCTACCATGGTTTATATCAGTAATGAAAAGACAAAGGCATTATTCCCAGTATGGATAGCATGCTTCCATAAAAGTTCTGTTATTTGGGTAGTCTGAAATTAGATCCATAATTTTCTATAGAGCTGCAGGTTAGTAGAGTATATACTTTAATACAAGTGCATTCTTACAGTTATTGGCAGCATATTATTACAGCTAAAGGAAAACATTAATTTTGTGTGAAACAAACATGGGCTTTATTAATATTTGTGTGAAGATTTATGAACCGAAGCTGTTTTTGTTCTGTGCTTGTACTAAATTAGGCACTTGGGCCAGCTGCTACAATCAGTTGCTTGCAGAGCTCTGTGTGCTCTTCACACACTTCACACAGTAGGGCAACAGGCACGTGCACAATGAGAAGTTGTGTGTGGAAAGCTGCCTGCATGGGACTTTGCACTGTGTTATTGGCTTATACATTTGAAGAATACAAAACAAGTTGTGGCTTATTCTTGGGCTGTTGTACCAATGATGCTTGTCAATGATGCTTGTTGATGCTGAATCTGGGCAACTGACTCACCTGGCAAGATTAGCAGACTCCTCTTACTGTTGCTGCTGAGTTTGCCCAGGTTACTACCAATAACGACCACCCCACTAATGCCCAAGTGGCATGGGGCATGACCATCACTTACCCCAGTCATGCTGCCATCATGAACCGCTTCTCATTCATTGCCGACTCCCCTGTATTTTTTTTTTTTTTTTTTTTTTGCCTAGAGATGCTTTCTGTAGTGACAGCCAGTGACAACCCCTTCAAAGAGCCCCAGAAGCACACTGGAAGGGTTGCCACTGCTCCCCATCACTTCTTTTTGGAATTATGTTTAATTGGTACAAATATTTTTGCTAATTTTTAGTCAGTCTTGCACATTTTTGGAGGGACAAACTTATGGAGGTGGCTGCATACATTTGGCTATGTCCTGGGAGGTTTCTGCTGCAAATGTGAAGCAGACATTAAGCATGGATATTGAGGAAGAATGGCTACAAACAGGTTTGTTTGTTTACTTTGTAGTCCCTAAAAATGCAAGTGTCCATGATTGTAACAGGAAATGATACAAGGTAGTTTTAGCTGCCAAGTCCCCAGAGATGCTAGGTGAAGGACTGAGGGGAAAAGGTTTGGAGCCAGACCACTATGGTAAGATCTTTACTGTGGTTCTTGAGATTCTGCATAAATACACCACAGAGCAAGTTGGAGAAGTCAAAAGATCCTTCTCATCAGTCCATGATAGCCAACCTGTTGCCATGAATCTTCCTGATCATGTGTTCCTGAAACTGGTATGCATAGACATATTGCTTTTGATTCTGAAATCATACAGTATAGCCCAACTCCTTGTGCCTGCTTAATCTAAAATACATAAATACATTTTGAGTGCTACTATTTATTAATAATATTTATAGGCCACCTTTCCACAAATGTCTCCAAGGCACTGTGTAAAATTCAAATAAAAATAGTAATAGGTAAAAACTAGTGGTGTGCCTCCCCCCACCATAATTCTGCATTTTTCTGACTATTTTCATTCAGTTGGCTAGAAAATAAATAGCTTTCGAAATGGAAGACAGTGATGAGGGGAAAAATCTGAGAATTGAGTTGGGTTTGGGTTTTCTCAGGAGGTGTCTCATGCCTCAGGAGGTGTCTCATGAGTACGTGTCAAGCTTCCATATAGCCTGACAGTGCATATTCCTGCCTAATCTTGCAAGCTAAGCAAGGTCAGGCCATGGTGAATATTTGAAAGGGAAATCTGAGTCCTGCACTGAGCAGGGGGTTGGACTTGATGGCCTTCTAGGGCCCTTCCAACTCTATGATTCATGAACTATGCTGTTAATTGCATGATCACCTCTGAGGAAACTTGTAGCCAACT